GATTCATGTAATCTTAACTCTTATCAACTTTACTCACTTATAAACATCAAAATTAAAAAGCAGATCACATACTTTGAACATGCAATGGCACAGGATGTACATAACCATTCCAAAACCTAGAGAAGGAAGCATAGTGAGAAAACACTGGACCAACGCAAGACCGGAAACCAGCTGGACAAACTCCAAAACCTGTATCTTCATGTCTGATGTCAAAATGCTCTTGAGATCTCCAGCTCCTTCCAGTTTTGTTAAATTCAACACACTTCTTTCTTTGGGCTGGTTCCACTCCCTGTTAGCAGCTTTTCTTGGCAGATATCCCTTGGCTCTGCCATCTCCAGCATCTTGAGGTCTGCAAGGCAATCCAGGCTTCAACTTAACAACTTTACGAAGTGGCCTCTCTAGGCCTCCATCCAGGGATACACCTTAGACATTCCTGGTCTCAGAGATCTTTACACACAGAAGCAATTCCATAGCCCCCTTTTCCTGCTGTTTTCTATGGTCTTCTTCTCTACCTAAGTGTGGCTGTTCTGGAGCCTGCTCTGTAGAACAGGCTGGCCTTAAACTCAGAGGTTTAAGCCTCTACCTCTGGAGTACTGGGATTAAAGGCATGTACCACCACACCCTACTCTAATTCCTTCTCACAAATTGGAAATTTAGCTGGGTGGGACCTTGCCTTGAGAGCTTCACTCCATTTATTCCATTTCTTAATCCATTTATCTCCTTGAACACAGGATTTAGCTCTATTCTACTTCCTCATGCGCCTTTTCTCAATCTGTACATTTTGTGTTTTTATTTGCTCAGACTGCTCCTTTTCATTATAAAATTTTGTCAGAGATGACACTAGTAACCACAAAACAGAGTCTACATTAGGCTGTTTTGAGATTTCCTCTGCCAATGGAGTTAATCCAAAACCCTTCACTTTTTAGCCTCAGGCAGACTTTTCAGACAAGGGCAGAAAGCAGTCACATTCTTCACCAAACTTTCACAGGAATGATTTCTAAACAGCATCCTAACATTCTTCTCTTCTGAAACCTCTTGAGCCAGACCCCACAGTTCAAATCACTCTTAGCACCACTGTCTTTTATCCTTCTATTGATATGGCCCATTAAGTAGCATTTAAAGCATTCCACTGCTTTCTTAACTCAAATTCCTGAAGTCCAAATTCATCCAAACAAACACATGGTCGAGCCTTTCAAAGCAATACCCCAGTTTCTGGTGCCAACTTCTGTCTTAGTTAGGGTTTCCATGGCTGTGAAAAGACACCATGACCACAAAAACTCTTATAAAAGCAAACATTTAATTGGGGTGGCTCACTTACAGTTCAGAGGTTCAGTCGATTATGGTGGGATATGGCAGTGTGCAGGCAGACATGATGCTGGAGAAGGAGCTGAGAGTCCTCCATCTTGCAGGTAACAGGAAGTAGACTGAGACACTGGGCAGTATCTTGAGGATATCTGAGACCTCAAAGCCCACTTCCAGAGTAACACACTTCCTCCAACAAGACCACATGTACTCGGCAAGGCCATAATTCCTAATAGCACAACTCCCTTTGGGGGTCATTTTCTTTCAAACCACCACAAATAGATATGGAGAGAGTGTACAACCTTGCCTTGTTTCTGATTTTAATGGAAATGCTTTGAATTTCTTTTCTTTTAAGGTTAATTATTAGCTGTGTACTTACTATAAATTGCATTTATTATGTTGGGGTATAGCCCTTGTATCCTGTGCTGGTTAGTTTTATGTCAAATTGACAGATGCTAGAGTCATTAGAGAGGAAGAAGCCTCAACTAAAAACATGCTTCAATAAAATAGGGGTATAGGTAAACCTACAGGGAATTTTCTTAATCAGTGATAAATGGTGAGGGCCCAGACCATTGTGGGTGGTGATCCTGAGTTCTATATGAAAGCAGGCTTAACAAACCATGTGGACGGAGCCAGTAAAAAGCTCCCCTTCATAGCCTCTGCATCAGCTCCTTCCTCCAGATTCCTGCCCTGTTTGAGACCTTGCGTTGAGTTCCTTCAATGGTGGACAATGATGTGGAAGTATAAAGCTAAACAAACCCTTTCCTTCCCTGTTTCCTTTTGTCAGTATTTCATCACAGCATCCCTATTTAGGACACATCCCTAGTCTAAGACTTTTATCATGAAGGACTATGATTTTGTCTTTCAGTATGTTTATGTGGTGTATGACATGTATTGATTTGTCTGTATTGAACCAGCTCTGCATCTCAGGAATGAAGCCAACTTGAGCACGGTGGATAATCTTTTTGATGTGTTTTATAATTTGGCTTACAAATATTTTATTGAGAATTTTTGCATTTATTTTCATAAGGGAAAATTGGTAAATATTTTGTTGTTGTTGTTGTCTCTTTGTTTGGTTTTGGTATCAGGGTAATAGAGGCTTCATAAAAAGAATGAAGCAACATTTTTTCAGTTTCCATTTTGTGGAATAATTTGAGGAGTATGGCCATTATGTCTTCTTTGAATGTCTGCTAGAACTCCATGTTGAATCCATCTAACTCTGGCTTCCTGCTGCTGGTGGCAGGAGCTTTTAATTAATGTTTCTCTTTCACTAGGGGTTATGGGTCTTGTATTAATCAAGAGTTCTCTAGAGGAACAGAACATCTAGAATGAATCTATGTATATAAAAAGAGAATTTATTACCAAAGCTTATAGGCTCCATCCAGCTAGTCCAACAATGTCTTTCTGCAGATAGGAAATCCAAGAATATGAGAGCTGTTCATTCTAAAAGGCTGTACGCTTCTACGTACCTACAGTAATCCTTGGAACCCCAAAGAATCGGTTCTAATAGTAGCCAAGGGATGCCTTAGCATCATAGATGAACTTGCCAGTGAGAGTGAGGGCAAGCAGGCAAAAAGCCAAAATTTCCTTCTTCCACGTCCCTTTAATATGGGACCACCTAATCCTCTCAGAGCTCATGATTTTCTGACTTTAGGTGGCATCTTGATGCCATGAAGAAGCGCAAAGTGAACAGGGGTTTTCTTGGGATTGCTGCACTTCACTGTTTGCTCTTCTATCCCCGAAAAGGTCATTAAAATGACATAGATCAGATTTGCAGTAAGAAGCCCAAATGATTTCTGAAGCATTATCAGAGCTTCTCCTCACTGCAAGAGCCAATTCCTGAGGTCTCCCAGGGGCCATATGTTTTCACAGCTTACAGGAATCATATCCTACTTAGGAAAGATTTTAGTTTTTCCCCCTTTTGCTGATGTCATCTGTGTTGCTATGGAAAAGAATTGATTGCAGCCTGACGCTGCTGGAAAAATCAACACTGATGAACATCTCCAGAGCACACAGTCTACTTTAGAGCTGGTTTTTGATTAGGCTTGCTAAAAATTGTTACAACAGATAACCAAAAAAGAAATGTTCTTTTTTCCGGCACTACGTGGCTATACAAGGCTCCTGAAGTGCGTGGATACAAATCCTTCTCAATTTCCACAGAAAATCTTAAATACATGGTAGCCTCTGTTGACTGAGGAAGAAAGCGTGCTTTTTAAAGACTGGGTGTTATTTCTATTACCTGGAATGGTTTTCTTAGAAATAGCTGTTTCGTTGTTTTAAGCATTTATGTTTAGCATTTTCTATCAGCTGTGCAGTGTTACCTGTATTGCCTAAGTAAGATGTGCACCCTTAGAAGAGGTTAAGCAGAATTCACTGGGACTCTTTCGTTTCTTGCTCCTTTGCTCTAGTTGCAAGATCAGATATCAGGGGAATACTTGTGATGCTTAAGGTGGTACATGACCATAAAAAGGAGGCAATGAATCCAAAACAAGTTTCTAGATACTGGACAGTAAGTGTACTTGTATGTAATACGTGATGTTCCTATTGAAGTATTTTAAATTTGACCATCTGTCCTAGTTTTGTTTCTGCTGAGTTGATAATATACCCTGATAAAAACCAGCTTATGGAAGAAAGTTTTGGTCTATTAGCTCTCAATTCTGGATTAGAGACCATCTCTGCATGCAAGTAACGGCAGGTAGGAATTGAAGCAGCTGGTGACATTTATTGTCAAGAGCAGAAAGAAAGTGATTGCATGCATCTGTATTCTGCTCACCTTGTCCTAGCTCAGGACCCCAAAGCAGGGAATGATGTCACCCACTGTTGGACTGGTTCTTCCAATCATGAGACTTCCAAATGGTCTTGCCTCCAGGTGAATCTAATCTAGATCATTCTGATTGAAACACCCTTTACAGATATCCTGCTTAGCTTTTACTATCCACTTCTGCAGGCTGTAGGCATCTGAGTGTGAAGTCTTAATTGATTGATGGACTGCCTAGATCAGATTAGTATAATGTCTTGCATTTGGGGAATTTTCTTGATTCTTAGTTGATATAGGAGGGCCCATCTTACTGTAGATGGCACTACCCCTAGGCTGGTGGCCCTGGGCTTGTAAGAAAGTCACCTAAGTTTGAGCCTGCGAATGAGCCAGCAGATAGTATCCCTCCATCATTTTTGCTTAAACTTACTCCTTGAGCTTCTGCCCTGAATTTCTCTGTTAGACTATAACCCGTAAGTTGACTCATGTCCTCTCCTCCCCTAGTTTGCCATTGGTCAAAGTGTTATTCTTGGAGAAACAGAGATAAACCAGAATACCAGATGATTCTAGCTTCCTGAATGTTGATAATTAGAACAGTGTAATTTATTAAAAACGTAATTTATTTATGGTTTTTGGAACATGGATGGTAAATAAAGAATAAAATGATTTGGGAGGGGAAAACTGCATCTCTGAGCTATTTAAGTACCATTTTCACCTGTGATATTGGGTGACAGCCACAGAGTACCCAGACATCAATACTCCATTGTTAGGTGGAATTACCCCTTCGATAATGTGATTTGGGTGTTTGAGACTGTGAGACAGATGCAGTTTTCTCACTGCTGAGTCCATTGTTGGCAGATTTACTGGCTTCACTTACGCTGCATTAAGGATGTGTTTTGTATGAACTGTTTCTAGTGCTCTGTCTACTTGATTTCCCCTACAGTGGCACATCGAGTGATGAAATGTGCAACCTATACATTATGTATTACATGGAAGCCAAATATGCAGTTTCCTTCATGACCTGTACACAGAATGTGGCTCCGGATATGTTCAGAACTATACCAGCAGAGGCCAACATTCCAATTACTGTCAAATCTGACATGGTTATGATGCATGGCCATCACAAAGGTGAGTGGGATATTTAACAGAGTATCACATGATCGTGTGCTCCATAGTTTCATTTGTTGTCTCGCTTGATTATATGATGAATCTAAAATCATTTTAGCATCTTCAGTCGATCATTATGCATGCATAGTATTCCCTCTCTTTCTTTCATACGCAGTCTCTACTCACTTATGTCTCCATCAAAACAGTCAAAAGAGGTCACTGGGAAAAAATGGTTCAGTTGGTACAGTAATTAGTATGAAAGCCTGAGGCCCTGAGTTCAGATCCCCAGCACTGGTGTAAAAACCTAGACACAGTGGTACACATCTGTGCACACTAGGAAGAAGAGACAGAGGACCCTAAGCTCTCCAGCCCAAACAAATCAAGGAACTCCTGACTCAGTAGAGGACAGTGTCATGAAAAATAAGAGTTATTCAGAAAGGCATCCATTGTTGATATATGGCCTCCACAAACTGATGCATAGAAGCATTCACATACACACACACACACACACATGAATATATACACACTTATACAGTGCATATGCACATACATACCACACACACAACAAATATTATCAGCCAGTGGTGAAAAGACTGTTAATTTTGTGACCAATCCCACCAATATAAACCTCTCTTCATATAATTCCTGTGTTACTTTTACCTCATTCCCTCCATAGGCAGAAATGACTTTATATGATTTATAATCTATACCATATCTTGAATAGTGAAAATGCTTATCCTTTCCAGCCATACCTGTCTAATGTGCCTTTTCAAATAAAAAATAATAATTCTTGATGTTCCTGGTCTTTTCTCTTGGAGTCTGATTCTCAGATTCATGCTTTAGCTTATTGTTCATCTGTACAATGGTCCTCCTCGATGGCTATTCCTTTAGTTTAACATTGTAAAACACACACCCAGTCTCACTGCATGAAGTTGTATCAGGCTTTGACTTTTAGGCCACTGCAAGCTCCCAAATCATGTCATGGAGACTTAATATTAGGTATGAGTGCTCAGCCTGTATTAGGCTCATTTATAGCTAGTTCTTTTAAAGTAAACTAACCTGTTTCTTTTCATCTACCTTTTGTCTTGGAGCTTGTATTTTTCTAGTTATGCTGGGGGTGGCAGAAGATTGTGAATGAGCGCATTTCTAACATAAAGATTCTTGATAATGTAATCAACACAAGATTCTGAGTGGTATTGCTGTTTTGGTGGCCAAATCCCGATAAACTAATAAAGTATGTAATATATGCTGATAATTCATGCTCAACTTCTTTAATTCTTTACAGAAACGGAAAACAAAGACAAGACAGCTCTAATCCAGCAGCCAAAGCATGACAGGGAAGAGGTATTGGAGCAAGGTACGTATCCTTATTTCTGTAATTATCCTATGAAAGTATTCATTGTCCAAATAGGCAGGCAAATTATGAAGCTATCAAATAGTTTGTCTCTACATCAGCCTCGAACCATATCATGACTGTTCTTATATGATGCATAACTTATGAGGAAATGGCCAGTTGTGCTTAGCCACAAGAGCAAAATTCTTTAGTGTGATTTAGTCGTCTTAGGCTTCTCTGTCTTTGCTTCAGTTTCTTTCCTATTGTAATGATTTAATATAGTTCATAGCATACAAATAGATCCATGAGAAACAAGCCTTTTGAAATCCAGTAAACTTTTCCATTTAAACTATGATGTTTATTAACTATATTTGCCTTTGAAGCAAAAGGAATTTAAGAACTAAGCCTGCCTGTTTCTGTCGCTCTTCTCTGCCCTCAGCAGGGCAGGACGGACTGCTGCTATACACTCAGAGTCTTGTGTTACGCTGCCGTGAGTTAAGAAGCATCACTTTTCCTGTGTCCTGTGCAGTAGGACTGTTTATAGCTATTATGTCATAAACTACGTGTGCTGGCCATGAGAAAGCACTCTCCAGAGTTTTGGTCTCTTGCCAATTGTTTAGAAAATAATGCTTTGTGTTAGATATTAGAATACATCTCCAATTAAATCGTTTCAGATTAAATATGATATGTTTTTAAACATTAGCTTAATGTTAATGCAATGACTTGTCAACATAAGACAAATAAATAAATGTTTTCTATAGTCAGTGTTTGAAAGTTTGGGCCAAGGGCTCAGTGAAAAGAGCACTTGCTGAGCAAGCACGAAGACAGAGCTCAGATCTCCACCACTCACATAACAGGCAGGCAGGTGTGGTAGTCCATCTGTAATCTCAGAGCTTGGAAAACCAAGACAAGGGATTCCCCAGGGCATGCTGACTAGCTAGACTAGCCAAAGGAGTGAGCTTTGAGTTCAGTAAAATAACCTGCCTCAGGAAAATAGAGCAGAGATCGGATGAAAAAAAAAAACCTGCATCAGTCTCTGACCTACACACACGGGCACGCACGCCTGTGCACCCATAAACATGCAAACACACATAAATGCATACACACCACACTCACATATACATGCAAAAAAAGAAAACACCTTATTAAAGTAGAGCATTCTAAAATATAGCTTAGCTTCGGGTGTTTCTGTGTTTGTGTTAAATCTAAAACAGGGAGATGATTTTGCACTAAAAACATGGGGGTATAACTTAAAATAGCTAAATTTATCAGTCCTGTTGATACATTTGTAAGGAGTGCAGGATTCACAGCCTGATTACAGGCACTATTAACAGAGCTTACAGTTACTATGCTGAAACTTGCCCAGATTTACAAAGAGTTATTTTGGCATTGGACACAGTTTGAATTCATGCCTTTGAAATAGTTCGTGCACTCTTAAAATTCCTGCACAACTGCCAGTGTACATGTGACAGTGTTGAATGAGAGCGCCGTCTGTAGATGCGTAAGGCTGGACTACCATTTCCTCTTTGCGTTAGTTTAGTTAGTTGGTCAAGGTTAAAAACCTAAAAGCCCTATGAGCAAATCATTCTTACTTTGAGTCATTGTTGTTGTTTTGGTTTTTGTTGTTTTTTCGAGACCAGGTTTCTTTCTCTGCATAGCTTTGGAGCCTGTCCTGGAACTTGTTCTGTAGACCAGACTGGCCTCAAATCATTCTTACTTCTAATCACTAAGATTGAGGGAGTTTCAGCTATACCTATTGTTATCCCTTAAAACACCGAAAAAGCTTCACATTTGCCTTTGTTTCATAGCATCACACTTTAAATACGCCCAGACTCTCGTGAATTCCAGAGAAGAATTTTCCTACTGTTTCTGTTTTCTTCTACTTATAATTAGAAAAGAAAAATACTGTACGGAAAGTAATATAACTTGGAAAATATTCTTTTGCCTCAGTTTTGGAAAGTAAGCCCTAGTGCTCCCATGTTGGAATGGCTGTATCTATCATCCCCCCAACATTCTGTGAAGCCATGCCAATGGCCACTGCCGTCTCTGTGTAAGCCCACTGGTCACTGGAGGACGTCAGCTAAGGATAAAGTAGAGACACAAAGCTATGCACTTTCATACAGATTATCTGATATATTAATGAGGTCAATCTATTTCTTTACAATGCATAGGATGGATCTACTCATTACTGAGAGAACAACCTATTCTTCAAAGAGACGTTTATTTGCACAAAGTATCTATTTATTTCACTCCCTAGGAAGTCATGCTGACCAAATAGCTAGTCAGAGGACTGTAATTATTCAAATAAATTACCCCCTGTGTCATAATTTTTAAAGTAAGCCCTTAAACTTAACCCAGGATTTTAGTTTGTTTGTTGTTCTAACTCAAATTGTTCCCAGTGTTTTCCTCCAAACTATATTAACTCTTTAATGGTTTTACCTTCAATAAAATAAAATAGACGTAAATTATTTGTGTAGTGCCAGCCGCACACCAACAGACAATGTCTATATTAGTTCCACAGAAAATTTCAAACTGTAGTAAAGAGTAGAACAGTTGTTGAACAAGAAAACAACACCAGGAACCTGTATGTGAAGGCAGGTTCTGTACTGCTCACCAGGTACAGGTTGTTCTGCAAATAATTTAGGTAGTTCTACACACATACATATGTGTATGTGCATACACATCAAGTACTAATACACTACTCATCTGCAAACCTACACATAGGGAGTATGTATGAAGCATTCGTTCGCTGGAATGACATTAGGTAGAGAAAATACAAGAAATATAATAAATACTATATCTTTTTTAAAGGATAAACTTTACTAAGATCATAAAAGTGCATGGGGAACACTCATATTCTATCAACTGAAATAAAAGAGGTAGCTACAGGGGCTGGAGAGGTACTCAGTTTGTAAAATTTTTGCCATACAAACGTGAAGATCTGAATTTAAATCCCAGCACCCACATAAAAGTAGATGTGGTGGCATGCATTAGTAACCCCAGCTTTAACAAAGTGGAGATGGGGGAACCCTGGAGCTTGCCGCTCATCTAGACTAGTCAATCAGAATGTGTCTCCAATATGGACAAAAAAAAATCCAATTAAATTCAACTATTCTTTTAACATGGCTTCATCCAATTCTTTTTTTTCTTTGAAATTCTTACCACTAAAAATCTAGCTATTAACTCCAAGAACATTAATCTTGACTGAAAATCAGTTGACAGATGAGTCACATGAAGCCCTGTGGCGTGGTCTCTGTGCTTACTCTTGGCACACTGGCCTTCTACAGTATCCATTGCAAGCCTATCTCAGACTCTGTCTCAAATGGTGTCATTGCTCAAACAACTACATAACACTACTACATAAGAGATTTATTCGTCCAGTTGTCTTAGATAATACAGGAACTGAAAACATTTTAACAAGGTGTTCCACGAGTCTGCAGGGCTTCTTAAATAATGGTTGCTTTGAGCTTTAAGACACTATTCAGGAAAGAAAATAACTATACAAACTATAAATAAACAAGAGGTTGTTAGCACAAAGAAAATCCTGTATGTGAAATATATGTGTTATATATATATATATATCAAATATGTATGCATTCATATATACATTATATGGAAAAATATATTAGACCATTATTTATCATTTATATTCTCTTTTTAAAACTATTATATCTTTTATATTCCCTAATATAATAAAAACTGTTGGCAAGGTTGATTTTTTTTTCCCCAATGCTGAGAATCAAACCCTGGTAATGTTAAGCAAGTATTAGCTACTAAGGTACATACCCAACCTGTAACAATTGTTTTTAAAGGTGGCATAATTGGGTTATACTGCTATTGATCTTTAAATATCTCCCTTCTCTATGTATGAGCTTATATGTGAAAAATTTAATTAATGTGTTTCCATGCATAAAGATAAAATATCACCATCCCTTAAATCATTGTGAAGAATTACCTCCATATATGAGTACCATCAGCGGTGAATGATTATCTGTACTTAATAAGTCCAGTAAACAAGTGAACTAGTGCCTACATGTGTAATAAGTACAGTAAATGAAACACGAGCTCTTATATATGTGTGAATTCAATTACTGTGATTCTGGGTGGAGGAAATGAGTACTAGCAAGCTGTCTGAAAGGAAGTGATGCTGGGGTTTTCCAGAGCAGATGTGGACACACTCCCAGAGATCCCTCATTTCTCAGCTGATACGTTTAGAAAACGAATGTATGTTTTCAAAGTTTTCCTTATTTCGCCTCACACTTGTTTGCTGGGCCCGAGAGACAGCCTGATGTTTCTGTCCGTGTTATTTAGAAACCAAAAGCTTACCTGATTCATGTGAGAATCTATGCAAGTGTATGTAGCATTGCTATCCTTAAAATTCTGAATACAATGTTTCTCTTAAATTATGTCGCTTGTAGTGGTCCAGTGTTTTCCACAGCTCAAGACAGAGTGGAGAACGTAAATGTACAATGCCAGCACATCCTCAGAATGGGGCCTCTTCCTCGGGACAGCACTTCTTTCGCTGCAGAAAGGCCCGTCGACGTGTTTTATTCAGTTTGCTCAAAACCCTTCTCACTGTAGTCTCTGTGTCCTAGTATAATCAATCTTTCTATGCAAAGGTCAGAGCGAGCCGCTATTATCCCAAGGCAGGGAGAACGGGACAAAAGTGCAATTTGTAGAGGGAAAACAGTCCGTGACCCCAGGCAGTTAAAGGTCATCAAACACCTTCTGTGAAACAAAATAATTTCGCAGTGGTTTTATGCTAACAGAAAATGAATTTTCATTGACATGTTTTATCAAATAAGCAAAATCAAGGAACAGGGTGGCAAGTGAAAGCCTTAACAGTAGACCAACACCGCTTCCTCAGTTAAGGTCTGGTAAACTTATCAGACCTTAACTCGGATGTAGTAGCTGAAACGTATAATTCTTTGCCTTGTTCAGAATAAGACATTCATTTGATATCCTTACAAAGTACATGTGATTTTAATACTCTTTTCTTAACTGATTCCAAGGACCCTCAATGT